CCATTTTCTTTTCCATCTGATTCTCCATTATAGTAGTTTCCATTTGGGCATTTGGGGGACTATAAACCCTAAACCCTAAACCCTAAATAGTAGTTTCCATTTTCATTTCCATTATCTCTATATAACCCCAATATAACCCCAATATTCTATCTACTTAAGGGGGACTATAAACCCTAAACCATAAACCCTAACCCTAAACCCTGAACCCTAAACCCTTAATTGACTGGTGCCTCCTGCGCGGCTCGCAAAGCCTGGTCCAGCTCTTTGCTGTCCTGCGACTCATCCACTCAGGTTAGTTTAGGGTTTAGGGTTTAGGGTTTAGGGGTTCAGGGTGCAGGGTTTAGGGTTTAGGGGTTCAGGGTGCAGGGTTGAGGTTTGGGGTTTGGGTCTAGATTGAAGGTTTGACATGAAGAGGTGGCGAGTTTGTTCTTTAATTGGGGGAGCAGATTACCATTTGAGAGTTTCCAGTCTGGACCCTCCTGCAAGAAATCCCTTTTGGGAATCCTCATGAGGACAAGGACTAGAATGTTGCACGGTGTTTTTTGAAACAAGCAAATCTTTTTGCAAACTGCTGCAACAAAATTGAAAATCTTGTATTTCTTCCACAGAAAAGAAGTCGTAAAATATGCAAGAGAGGCTTTGTGCCCTAAACTGCTTTAACCTTGATGGTAAATAGCAGTCCGCCGTTGCAAAACAAGTATACAATAACAATCCGCACTACTCCCCAGCCCAAATTCGATTGATCCTGTCCAGCTGCTTGCTGTCCAGAAATCAAGTAGCTACCGAGTCTGCTCATGGAGTGAGCTTTTTTGTTGCTGCGCAAGGCTTTGTTGTATTTAGTATGGGACCACTGTGGTCTCCCTGTACTGCTTGTATATCATTAGGATCTCTTGAATTTTGCGAACCCGCACAAAGGGGATACATGCTCGAAAGTCTTGAACCATCATCTCTGGCTGCTGTGATAACATCAATTCCAGTATCAACCTTAATGCTGAGAAATGCCCACATGATACTTCCCCCTAACCCTTAGCCCTACACCCTACACCTTAATATTTTCCCCCAGCGGAAGCAGTCCTGGTGGATCTTCGCGATGGCTAGCATCACAGAAGCCTCTTCCTCTCGTGGTGGAGGTTTGTTTCGTGGATGGCTCTCGAACGGTTCCCTCAGAGCAAAATCGACCCTCTAAATGGGTCGAACATGATGGCAGCTCCCGGGAAGAAAACCTCGAAAACCTTAGAAAAACGAAGCTAGAGTCACGCGCCTTCTTGTCGCCGGCCTTTCTGAACTTGTCTGCGAGGCTCTGGCCCTCCTTCAGAGCCTCTGCTGGGTCCTCCAAGTCACTGCAGAGGATTGCTGTTCAATCAAAGGTTCTGATACTCAATTTATTGCTATTATGACTATTACTACAAATATCACCATTATTGCTATTTTAAACTTATCCATCATCGTCGTCATCATCATCATCATCGGAGGACAAGTCTTTAACACCAGCGCTGGCCCCCTATCGCTGGATGACAATGAAACACGTAAGCTTAATCTACCTTCTTTAGCTTCCTGAATAAGCCCCTACAATAACTTCAATGTCCATTGCATTGCCCATGTTGTTCTCCACTCGATTATCCATTATGGGCCAGAGGCCCATTGAGGGGACCCAAAACTCTAAATCCTGGCTTATCTCTTGTAATCCCTATACCCCCCCTTTAAAGGGCCCCATGAAGACCTATGCAACCTCTTTATACCCTAAACCCTAAACTAAACCCTAAGCCCTAGACCCTAAACCCTAAACCTTAATCCCTAAACTCTGATCCCTAAACCCCAACCCCTGAACCCTAAACCCTAAACCCCAATCCCTAAACCCTAAACCCTAAACCCCAATCCCTAACCCCTAATCCCTAAACCCTCAACCCAATCCCTAATCCCTAAACCCTAAACCCTAATCCCTAAACCCTAAACCCTAAACCCTAAACCCTAAACCCAATCCCTACTCCCTAAACCCTAAACCCTAAACCCTAAACCCCAATCCCTAACCCCTAAACCCTAAACCCTAAACCCTAAACCCCAATCCCTAACCCCTAAACCCTAAACCCTAAACCCTAAACCCTGATCCCT